CCGCCGCTGCCGCGTCGTCCTCCGGAGGGCCCGGCCCGGCTGGCCCGGCGGGTGCTGAGGCCGCCAAGCAATGCAGCCCATGTTCGGCAGCGGCGCAAAGCTCGTCGGGGCCCGCAGCGCTGCCCTATGGCTATTTTGGCAGCGGTTACTACCCGTGCGCCCGCATGGGCCCGCACCCCAACGCCATCAAGTCGTGCGCTCAGCCGGCCTCAGCTGCCGCCGCCTTCGCGGACAAGTACATGGATACAGCCGGCCCAGCGGCCGAGGAGTTCAGCTCCCGCGCTAAGGAGTTCGCCTTCTACCACCAGGGCTACGCAGCCGGGCCTTACCACCACCATCAGCCTGTGCCTGGCTACCTGGATATGCCGGTGGTGCCTGGCCTCGGGGGGCCCGGCGAGTCGCGCCACGAGCCCCTGGGTCTTCCCATGGAAAGCTACCAGCCCTGGGCGCTACCCAATGGCTGGAACGGCCAAATGTACTGCCCCAAAGAGCAGGCGCAGCCTCCCCACCTCTGGAAGTCCACTCTGCCCGGTAAATGGTGCCTTCTTCCCAGCCCTGGTCTCAAGGCTCTGTTCCAGCTTCTCCTCCGCTCGCCCCCGGGATTACCGGGTGCCCCTTTGCTCTCTTCCTGGTCTGTCCTAGCGGCGCTGCACCGCTGGGAGCCAACCCCATCCAGCTGGTTGACGCTGCCTGTACTGCCCTGAGTTGAGCCGGTCCCTGGTCCTCCCTGGGTGAGGGGTGGCTGGGAGACAACTTATGGGGACCCTCAGCTAGCTCCCTTCTCCATCTGCCCTCGCCCTCCGCAGCCTTTGACACAGACTTGAGAATGAGAAATTGACCTGAAAATAGTTTCCAAATTGCTCCTCCCTCTTCGTTCTCTCAAAAATGGCTTCACTGTAGAGGCATTGAGTGTTGAGGCTAGGGCACCCAGAAAGGAGCCAGACATGGAAGTGTTGTATCTTGAGCCAGTCGCTAAGGTGTGGGCCGCTGGGCCAAGCAATCACACGAAGCCAGCGCGCTGCTGGTGCCTGATGGCCCAGTTAGGGTAGTCAGTGGAGCCCTGGGCGATTTCAGTTCAGTGCAGAACTAATCACCTTCCCCACTGCCCCTTCAGGCTTTGGCAGAAGGCCGGATTGTACAGCGAGTGGCAAAGAGCAGCCCGGAGCTGCAAGGCGGGTGGCTCAGATTGAGCTGTTGCCTATATACTGGCCGGGATCTGATCCCTGAGTAACTTGCCTTCTCCCCTATCTTCCAGACGTGGTCTCCCATCCCTCGGATGCCAGCTCCTATAGAAGGGGGAGAAAGAAGCGCGTGCCTTACACCAAGGTGCAATTAAAAGAACTGGAACGGGAATACGCCACGAACAAATTCATTACCAAGGACAAACGGAGGAGGATATCAGCCACAACGAACCTCTCGGAGCGGCAAGTCACAATCTGGTTCCAAAATAGGAGGGTTAAAGAGAAAAAAGTGATCAACAAACTGAAGACCACTAGTTAATGGATTAAAAAATGGAGCAAGAAGGCAATTTGAAGAAATGCTTCAGAACTCGTTGCTTTTGCTCAGATAATAATAAAGCTTAATAATAATTGAAGAATGAGAAAGACAAAGAGAGAAACTGACATGTTACTCTCCAAGGGGAGATCTCTTTCTCTTTAGTGGAATCTACAATTGTTTTTAAACTCCACAAAATGGTAAAGACTGCCAGCTCTCCCGCCAACCCCACCAGCCCAGCCCGTTAAGTGACAAATTCTAGTCAAACGTCAACCCCCAAATGCGCAATTTCAGATAAGTTGCGCAGTTACTGAAATCTTGTAAGTATTTATGTGACTTATATTTTAGGACACTGTGTTAGATGGTAATAATCTGAAAGTTGGTTACAAAAACAAGAAGCTATTGTAAACATCTGCTTGCCCTTAGGTTGCCATTCCCTTTGCATGTTAAGTGCCCGCTCAGGTAAATCTTAGTGAAATTCCTACCGTTGTCTTATGTTGTGCAGAATGTTTTATGAAGAGATTTAGAGGGGAAAAGAGAAGGTACTGAAATAATGATCTTGGACTATTTGCTATGAAGGGAGAAAGGGAGAGAAAGATCTTCCGAGGATCATTTGTCCTGGTAGTAAAAACAAACATCTGAACCTTTGAGGCTACAAGGGAACCCCGGGTTGTTAATGTCCTTCTGAGAATAATTTTAATTGCTTATAACAAGCATAGTTTGTGGCATATAGACTATATTTACTGCCCCATATCAATTATTTTCCAAAGGATTTGGTATATATATATTATATATAATATATATATATATTTTTACAAATCTTTAAATCATCACATGATCCACAGGATTCATATTATGTCAGCTCTCCCGGGGGGTCCCACCACAACATGATGGACACAATTCATTTTTTAAATTTAAATTGGCATTTCCCAATATTTGCTAACCCATTTTGCTGGAGAAATTTTCCTTTCTTATTTTTTAGATGACTCAATGAACCTCTGTTCCCTGGAAACATTTAGATATCTATGTTCTTTATTTTGATCTATTAAAGGACTAGTATTTTTCCTAGTTTATTGTGTTATCAGAATCCATTAGAAAGATTGGGGATTCACGTCTCAGCATATTTTTAATCAAGCAGTTATTTAAACCAGCACATTCGTTTTGTTCATATTCACTATAAAATGATATCTTGTAAATAAAGACATTCAGCACACTGTGAAAATGTATTTGTGCACCTGCTTTTTAAATATTTCTATGAAAAATGAAAAAAGTCAAACCTGTAGATAGTGATATTTGTATTAATTCTGTTAATAAAATAGTCACGGCCATTAAAATCTGAAGAAATACTCATTACTTTCCTATGCTATATGTGCACTGCACAGAAGGGAAAGGAGCAGGAAGAGGTGGAGCAGGTTTGTCTTAGATAAACCAAGGACCGTTCTTTTATTATTCAGCTTTTATCTTTTGTACAAAAATTTTAATTAAAGAAAGAAATTCCCTCATAACTGAAATCCTTTAAATGATAAGAGCCCCAAGGAGATTAAAGTGTCAGGTATTCTGAAAGGGAGAAAAGAGGAAGGAGGAAGAGATAGTATAAATTCCCAGGCTCCCTGTAGAAAATGAAAACCAGTTGTTTTGTATCAGCAATGCCTAGGCTGCCATATTTTAAAATCTGCTGTTGGGTCTGCATGTGTCTGAGAGGGCAGGTTTTGATATTTGTTGAAATGACAGGACTACCAAAGGCCTTAAACCTTGACCTTGAGAAAAAAAGACAATTTGTGACCTTGACTTTTGACAGCTCATGAATGGGCCTCTGTTGGATTAGTAGATCAAGGGCGCCACCTCGCGTTGACAAGCCTCCTTGTAATTCTTCAACTTCAAGGGAATCCAGAGCTCTTCTTACCTTCTTGTTTTAGAGATTCAGTGCTAATTTCTTTGGCTCTAGATAAAGGGAATTTGAATATATGTAAATTATACATGTGCCTGTATATATGTGAATATATCATATTTGTATACATGTATACATTTGCATATTACTGCTTGTGTGTGCTTGTGTATATATATTTGCAGAATCTGTACAGATATACCATTAATGGCTGGTGACCCAAGATATTGTAATTTAAGGTGATTTCTAGAGTTGAGGTACAAAATGTACTTTACACAATTAAGCTTTGCTCCTTTTCTTTAATGGCCAAGTTTGATTTGTCTTCACAGTGGTTTACTCTGCATCAGATTTCTGCGGATCTGCTTTAAAGCTGTACATTTTTGTTACAGTCTACAATCTGAGAGGTGTTCTTAAATAACCGTTCACCCTCCAAGGTGGTCTACCACCCTAATTAGAGCTATGGGGGAGTATTACAGCAAGTAAAAAGTTTCAGAATCTGGCTAACTCTAGGGTTCTAACTGTAGAATTCTAGAGTTACATTTCAGAAATTCAAAGAAATTCACCTTTTTAAAAATCAGTAAGGAGAATTAAAATATCTCATGTCTATACCGTAACCATAATATGGATGCAGAAGGAGAGTTATCCTGGTTAGCTAAGAGCTGAGGACTGCTCCGGGGTGGTGTGCAATCTTATACTGATGCTCATGAATCTGCCATTTGATTTGTGGGAGAAATAAATGTTTAATATTAACAACCACCATGAAACTATAATAATACTATACCTACTGTTGACCCCCAACAACATATCAGGTGCTGTATACAGAGTCATAAAGAATATATATGTATGTTTATATATTAAATATACACATAGGGTAATGTGTTTCTGTCAAATCCATGCTATATACAGATGTATTAAAATGTTGGTGAACTAATAGCCTTGGGATGCAGAATTTTGAGATGCAGGTTACCTTTATGTTAAAGAACAGTAATAGTGAATGGAAGAACCTTATCCATCATTTCATGGAAAATAATATTTGTTGATTACAAATCTCATCTTGCTGATGGAACCTCACCTGAAGACTTAGAGCTTCTTTATAGATGGACGATTATGGAAAGAATCTCTACAGCTGTCTCAAACCCAGGCTGGTCTTGAAACACACATATCAAATGGTATTGTGAAATACAATCACATTTTGCTGCCCTGAGGATTTTCAATCCAATCGTGGAAACTAATGAAAATGCTGCTTCAGACCCACCTCCCCACATCTTGTTCCACAGTGCTTCATTTCTAAATGAGCTGCCATCTAGCCAAAGTTACAACTTTCTCCCAAAATGTTTAAAGTGATGGAAAATCCCCTCAAAACTGGATCAAATTGTGTTTAAGAGCAGCTCCAAAGGAGACTCTCCTGTTGACGAGGGATATTTTTCTTTAGATGTAAGAAATATTCTGAGCCTCAGGCCTAGGAAGGAGGCCAACAGCAGCTCTGGAGCCGGAATACCACCCCTTTTGAAAGCCATCACCACTGCAGGAACGCTGGGTAAAGTAGTGACCTTTGTTTCTCTCTCCAGTTTTTGAAACTTCAATGACAAGATATTCCAGGGTGGTTTTGTTGTTGTTTCTCCAGTTCTAAAATAGTTGTTGATAGTGTTGGTCTTATTAATATCTCTTTTACTTAAAATTTCCATATATCTACCTTGAGGTGAGCATGGATTATGATGGCTCCCTAATGCCCAAATAGGCATCAGTCTAAAACGTTTAGAAAAAAGATATCCAACACCAGCCACCTCCTCAAAACTTCTTCAATCAGACATTGTATCCACGGATAGTATTGTTGAAACACTGATTCAAGCATTTTTTTTCCACAAAGGGAACTTCCTTAATAAAAAAAATTGTAAATATGAGACTTAAAAAAAAAAACCCTACTTTTCCCATCTGCTGTTGGCGCTGTCAAATTTATTAAGCTATTTTAAGTGGATGATTGCAAAATGTCACTATTCATTTCACCTAATTATGCCTGATGAGGCGTTGACACCACCTATTCAAATTATCATTTTTTTTAATGGAAAAGCAAAGGAGATTTTTTAACCAAAAAAGGAGAAAATATTCGCTTGAAAAATACAACCTAATTAAAATATTTTCTTAAACATTCATCTGCAAGGTAGCGAAATTCAGCTGAGGGTATTGTGCGATGGTAATTAACGGCAAACATTTCGGTGTGTAATGTGTAAATGTGCAGATTGCACTCTCCTGCTTGTGTTTAGAAGATTTAGTGAAGGTGCGCGGTGGTGTTTCCCTTCTTCTGCGAATTCCCGAGTCTAGGAGCAGAGAGCGAGGTTGCCTGAGACTGCTAATTCCCAGACCCAGTGGGTTCAGCGGCGCCCTTCTGGATTTGCGGACCTCTGCTAAAATGACGCTAGGGGCTTAATGATTTATGCACATTCCTTTAAACTTGATTGAATGGATGTCAGCTGACCAAGACCTGGAAATTCAGAGAAATGTGTAGCGATTTGCTCACATCCCATTTTTCATAAGCAAATAGATGTAGCATTATCCAAAAGGCCTGGAGAGATTTATGCCTAGATTTTAGGACGGGCGCGCTAATTAACTTTTCATCTGCTCGGCCGCCGGGTAAATAATAGCGGGCTTTTTTCTTTATGAAAATACCCATTCAATCCTGAGCATTTACCTAGCTGCGACGAATGCCTGAGCGGTGCTTGCTATTTTTATTTTATTTTATTTTAAAGGGCAGAAAAATGTAGCGCAGAAAAATTCCTTTCTGAAAGCAGCCAAGGCCTTGCCACAGTTGATTTCCTTTCTGCCCGGCTTTCCACGTAGCTGAAGAGCTGGATCTACCGGCAGAAATAATTATGTTGGCGTGTCAGAGATTTTCAAACCTTTGCGGGCGCTCGTGCTGCAGCGCCGGGTGCAAGGGTGTGGATGAGTGAGAGGAGCGCGGTTGTGGACTCAACAGAGCCGACTGATGTCGCGACCCTCAGGGACAGAGGGGCGGCCCCAAATCCTCCAAGCTTGTACATGACCCCCCCACACTCAAAATGGAGGCTGGCCCCCTACCATAGCTCGCCTCGCTCTGACGGTTCATGGGCCTGCGGGGGGCGTGAGGCAGGGCTGTAGGCGGAGGTCAAGGCGGCCGGAACCCAGAGGGCCCAGCCAGGGACTTTGCGGGCGAGTCGCCCCGCAGCAGCTGACGTCAGCGCAGGCCGAGCGCGCCTCCTTGGGGCTCTCCCGGCGCTGTTGGGGCGAGAGGCAGATTCCAGCAAATGTTTTGTGCTGTGCCCCCTTCTCCGCCCCGCCCCTCCCTTCTCAAGAGAATAATCGGGTATTTAATCTCTCCTGGTCTTAATTCTTGGCAGCGTGGAAGGTGGTTTGCAACGGGAAATAAAACTTGACAGGAGCATTTTCTCTAAAAGGGGGTTTGAGACGGACTGAAAAGAAATCGTGTTTTTCTCTACCAAATACTTCCGCTTTCTGAGCTTGGAGCTGCGGGCTGGGATGAGATCCGAGGGAGTGGAGAGTGAACTGGGCACACAGGGCCACGTTGTGGATCCACCCGACAAGCTGAACCCGGGCGCTCTGGCCTGCCGCGTTCTCCGCCTGGGCGGGGAGGCGGCCCCGGGCCTCGCTGCGCCCCAAGCCTGTGCGGTGCGCGCCTGGCTCTTCCCAGCTGTAGGCCCCAGCGCCACCCCACAGCCCGAGGCCAGGACCCCGCGCACTCGAACTTGGTACCGGTGGGGTCGCGATTGGCACCCAGAGTAGTATCCGCTGGCTGAGGGCGCCTGGGGTCAGGCGAGAGAGGGCCTTAGACTGCCTTTAGCACTCAGCGTTCTGTCCTGTGGAGAATGGGAAAAAGAGCTCGCAGAAAAAGG